ACATGCTCTATCTGTTTTAACCTTATGCGATAAATTCTTGTACAGTATGTAATTATTGGTTTGTAAACTTTTTTAAGTGAAGTTTTCTTTGTTTTCTAGTATTAAAATCCTATAAACCCGGGTGTCAACCCGGATACAACGGGTAATCTTTGTACCCGGATAGACCCGTTGATCAACCCGAGTTACCCGCAGGTTACCTGACGGGTCACCTGGGTTGTACTTTTTGAGTCGGGTTGAAACACTAGGCCAAAGATTAGTAAGTATTAATTTTAAAATTTAATTTATTTAAATTTATTCACAATATTTCAAAATAGCTAAACTTAATTTTATAAATTTATTAATATTCCTAAGCAGTTCAAGTAAGTTCTGATGAGGACACAACAAACGAAGATATACCCAAAGTTGGCTTAAATAAACCGATAGATGATGATTCTTTGGCCTTAGGTGATGAATGAAGATAATAGGAAAGTTACGGTTAATGATAAGAAAGATATGGATATTGATGAGTAAAATTTTTTATTTTTTTGCTTTGTTTTTTTTTTTTATTTGAATAATGCTGTGTTTTTTTGTCTTTTATTTTTATATATTTCTTTTAGGATTTTCTATAATTTAGTTTTTTTTTTAGTAATTTTAAAATTTTAAATAAAATAAAAAATAAATTTATTAATAAAATATATTTTAAGTTATAAAATTTATATTGTTTATTTAAATAAATACAATAAATTTGGCATTTTTTCAAAATAATTCGAAAAAATCTAATAAATCGTATAATTATTGCATTTAAATATATTTCTTATTATTTGTATTTTTATTTATTTTATTTTGAAAGTTTTTGAAATTCCCCGATTTAGTTCGATTATTATTTGTAAATTCGAAATAGTGCTATTTTTTTTATAAATATTTTGCCATTTTGATTCATTTATATCTATTTCGATTTGTTTCGAATTATTTCAAAATATTTCGCAATATATTGTGTATTTTTATGATATGATTTCGTAATATTGTGTAATATATTTCGTAATATTATGTTATATATTGCGCAATATTGTGCAATTTTTTGTGCAATATTATGTCCAGACCGTAATTATTGCGCAATTTTTTGGGTATAATAACTTGTGTAAGTTTACGTTAGTATATTTCGCTGATGTATACATTCTGCAATTGTTAAATCCAGAGACCTTAATTTAGATCCATTCCGCAAATTCGCTGATATGTTCAAGATCAACATCTTGATTAACTATAGTTTTTGAATTTCTGCATCATACTTTAATTGTTTCAACTAGAGCTAAATATTTGCTTAACATGTTATTTTCAACAAACTCTGAAAAAATTGTTCAATTGTGATATTAGTTTGTACTAGTATTACTTTCTAGTCAAACAATATTTTTGATTCTTGGGTAATTTGTATATTTATTGCAGGCATAGTGTAAGAAAAAGTATAATAATTTTTTTTAGATTGAAAAATTAACAGATTAATCGATAGTTGTTTTAGTACTTCATATACAGTTATGTGGTTAATATAGACTGAAGTATTATGATATAGGGCAGTAAATTACAAGATCAAAGTTATCCATAATAAAAGCTAGCACCTGTACAATTTAGACAATTATTATTATACTTGTAATAATGTAAAAATCACAATTCAGGCAAACATGACTTTTATACCACAAGTAAGTAACTAAAATCATTTTGTTGTTCAAGTATATAAGTGAAGCATTACCAATTATATAAACCTAAAAACCAGCAGTAAGAATTAAAATTTGAAAAAATATAAAAACTTTTATCGTGTTTACTATTGTATCAAATTGAATTAAGAAAAATTTTAGAATTTAAAACCATAGTGATAGTAAATTTGTTTTGATTTTATACTCTCTGATGTGCTTGTTTTATATATGTTTAAAATTACATCATACTGGTGTATTTATTACGGATATATACAAAAATTCTATAAAGAAATTAGACCAACAATCTAATTATTGTTGAAATTTCTTTTTTGAATTTTAGCACATATCTATTACATTACTATGATTATAAAATAGTCTTAAATATGTATATATATATACCCACAAGTTGCTTTCAATTAAAGGTATAGTTTTATGCAAATCAATGGATTTAATCTCATATATACATATTACAATGCAGGAAGTCTAAAAAACTATAGTAGCAAATTAAAAATAAACTTCCTAATTTGCTTAAAAGCAACTATTCCTATGTAGATTATTAAAACTTAAGTTGTTCAGTGAAGTTTTATTTTTTTCAAGTGCAGAAGAGAATATTACGAAGAAGAATTCTGCCTATAGCAGATCACACATAGGTAATTTAAACTTTGGTTACAAAGAGCCAGATAAGCTAATACTTGTAATTTAGGCATTGTAAAAACTTGACCTTTAGAGACTTGTTTTTTGAAAATTTGTAATATAATATTATTAAGCCTAATAAAGTAGAGGCAAGATTGCCAAATTGTTTCAAAAAAAAAAAAAAAAAACTTAAGTTGTTATAACAAATTTAGTTTATTTTTAAATAATTAGAGTTGGTTATTTACTATTTTTATACAATTTTTTTTTTTTAAAAAAAAAATTTTTTATAAAACATTTTAAGTTTATACAAAAACAGCCAGGTTCCAGGTGCTTTTTTACTTTAATATATGACGAGAATCAATTAATTTTATTTGTATAGCCTTAGTTAATTTTATTTTTTTTTATGTTTAGTGAAGTGATCGTAAGCTCTGTTGGCCCCATACTTCTTTAATCAGCTTATCATTGTATGTGCTTATTTATGCATGATTTGCTTCATATGTGGCGTTGGTGTATTAGATCTTTCTTTTCTCTTCTTCCTTTATTTTATCTTGTAGATATATATATATATTATATATATTATATATATATTTTTTAGAGTGTATTTTTGAGCCGTATATACATATTGTTAGTAGATCCAAATTTAGAGATTGTGTTTGCTTGTTATTGTTATTACATGGTTTTGTTTTTTTTTTTTTTTTTTTTAATGTGTAGCAGGTCTGCAAAGGTTCCTATATGATCATTGTTGGCAAGTCAGAACTGGTGAGTGTATATATTATGTGGTTGTTTGTTCTTTTCCCTTTTTTTTTTTTTTTTTTGTATGTTTGTATGTAATTATGTGTACTTCATTGAGCTATTTGTTTTGGTTTGATAACTGAATGTTAACTTGTTTAGTGAAAGAGTTTTTGTTCAGGATACATCTTTTTTCTGGGTACTCAAACTTTCTGCATGCCAGGCAAGCATAAACGCATTGACAATTTGCTTCTTCATTACAACCTTTCCAGTTCTAATTCAGACATATTTGCTTTCTGTCATTCAAGATATATCAGATCTTACATTTCTTATATTGATGCTGGAGTGGTATTTTTTGGTGGTAGTTAGGCTGTTTGAAGTTATAATTTCATTTAATATTCCTTCCAAAGCTTAAGCGCAGAGAGAGGAGGGCCAAATTAAACAAACATTATATAACATCTCAAAAAAATCACTATTATTATTAGTTGATTTGTAGTCACATGATTTATTGAAATCTTAAAGATGTAGCAAGCATTCTAATTGGCTTGTTTAATTTCAGAAGAAGCTATTAAAGGCAGTAAGGAGAAGAATGTTAAATGAAATTGTAACTTCAAACTGCCTTATATCAAAATTTTCTCCTTTAGCCTCTATGTTTCAGTCGAGCAGTGTTGAGTCATGTTCATTGTTAAGTGTATATGTCTATTTTCATCATAATTAATAACTACTACAAATTCTTGTTTTATACAAAGTGTGCTAATGTAGTCTCTATAAGTATTTAATTCCTGCTCGCGGATGTTATATATCACTAGGATAGCTTTCATATAGGACTTGAATGCAAGTAACCATTCCGCAATATCAGTAAATTTTTGAGACCAGTTGTATTTACGAAGTGTGATAGTGCCACTCTCAGTTGTCAAAAGAGTGTGATCCTCTTCATTGTTTTTAAGCTAAACTTTCAGATTTTTATATGTGAATTCATGTACAGTTGACCCTCTCAAAACCGATCCTGTCAAAGCCGATAACCTGTCAAATCTGATAAAAAATTAATCTACCAAGTCCGTTCCCGTTATATAAATCTATTAGTTTACTATGTTTTCAAATCCGATAACCTCTTAAAACTGATACAAAACCTGTCCACCATGCATACCGATTCTGAGAGGGTCAACTGTAGATCTATGTAGGTACTAAAAGCAATAGATTTTTATAATTGTGTGAGTAAGCTGGGCTTGTTAGGCATTGTTTCGATAGCTTTGTGTTCTTTTGACCAATTGAGGACCCACCAAAAACGAATGTGTTTTACTTGGGCTATGGTAAGGTTGTTGAAACCATGGGGTATCAGTAAATTATTCGTTTCTAAGTAGCCAAAGGATGAGAATGCATGTGTGGTTGGTTTTATTTTTAATGAATTGGTTTGGAGTTTATAGAACATAGTTAGTACTCTCCAATAAGCCTTGCTAAAAATTGCCATTGGCTTATTAAGGCTTATTTAGTTTTTATACTATATAATATATAAAAATATCACTTATTTTTATAATATAAACTATACAAATAAATGATATTTTTATATATTATATAGTATAAAAACTAAATAAGCTTTAATAAGCCAATAGCAATTTTTAGCAAGGCTCATCAAGCCAGCTCATTGAAAAGCACTATGCATAGTACTTGTTTCACATCTTGGGCTGATCGCACTAGGGTGTAAAAGAAGGTTGCTTAGAAGTGAAGTTAAAGAGCAATTACCTTGTTAGTTGGTGTTGTTTTCATTTTGGTCACTTTGTAGTTAAGTTCTAGTTGGGGTTTGATCATGGTTGTGACTGATGTATACAAGTGGTTGATTTGAAGTATTAGGTTAAGCATTTGATGTTTGTTGTACATCAAGGCATAAATCAATTTGATCATTTAGCTTGTTGATCAATTCTAAATATATGGCCATGGATTGATCTATATACAATTTTATTGTATTAATTATTGTGTATGATGATGATTGGCATACTACATCAATGTAAGCTTTTGTGTTGGTGTTAATGTTAGATAGGTCAGGGTTTGGGACAATGTTGCTAGATTGAGTGAAAGTTTGGTTATCATTAATGTTAAGATTTTTATCTGACATATTAAGCAGAAATTTTTCAATTTTATACTGTAAGTGAGAGTTAATAAGAGTTGATATAAAGTATTTATAGGTTCGATTTGGGGTGACTTGTATAGCGGCTAGCATGGTATCTAATTGGTGCTTTGTTGTATGTGTTCTATGAGCCCCTATTCAAAATACCCAAGTGGGACCCCTAAATTTATGAAGTGGATCAAGTGCTTAGTGTATTCGATCTCTAAACCACTATTCCCAATACCCAAGTAGAACCTCTAGAATTTATATGTTATAAGAGTGAATTGAACACTTAGACTAGTTTTTTGAATTGTTGACTATAGTCAACATATACAATACCAAGCAATTTCACACTAATCCTTTTTTTTTTTTTAGGCAGTTTTTGTATAGCCAATATTAGAAAAAAGATTATTCTTTAACTATTTAGCTTAGAAGATTAAAAAAAAGGATTAGTGCAAGAAATTGCCTGGTATCGATATTTATTGATACTCTGCATATTATAATTATTCTAATTGTTTTCTGCATAGTATGAGATGAACCATGAAATACTCAAAGAAATTCATAAGATGCACCACCAACAATGGCCAGACAATAGATATTTGCTCAGGAGAAGGTCTGAATTTTTTGCTTGAAAGTGCCCTAAATATTAATATCATAATATAGTGATCAGAATTTGATGATTTTGATATCATTCGATTCGCCTCAGTGAGACGGTTCAAAATCGTTAAATTTGGATCACTAAATCGTGAGATATTTGTAAAAAAAAAAAAAAGATTTATATGTTGAGAAACTTGAATTACTGTGGCAGATTAAATTGAAATTAGGATTAAAATGAAATTTTTCTATTTTTTTAGGAAATTTTAAAATTTTTTGGACATTTTTTAGGGTTAGGGTTAGGGTTTAGAGTTAGTTTTATTAATAAAAGAGTATAAGTGGGTTTTATAAGCTTTAAAGGTGAGCAAGAAAGGTCACCAGTTTCGTTTTAATCTGATTTCATTATGATTACTGAGTAGAGCTGCGTTAATTGCAAATATTTCACGATCTAATGATCTTCTCGTCGATACGAATTAAAATCATTAAATTCCGATCACCGAATCACGAGATATTAAGATATTGCCAAAAGATGTGACCCAAGATTTTAAATTGTTTATTTAATTCATATTTTCGATCAGTTATATTTATATTTATTTGAAATTGGTAAGATTCTTAAAATCTACAGAATCTCCGATTTTCATACGACATTGTGGTCTGCAGAGGTCACAAAGCGCAATAAAAATAAAATTTTAAGGGACGTGCCGGTCTTGTTTTTAACAGAATAATGTATTTTCGAATTAATGCAGAAGTTATAGATCCTAAGAACAAATAGTATTCATAAATGTCTGCTTCCTTAAATCCACAGTTAGAAACTTCATAGATCGTGACAGTCACTTTTTTCAGTATATGAGTGACGGGAAAACCTGTAAACCATTTCACTCATTATCATTGCGGTGATATCAACCCCTATAATAACTAGGAGTGCATATCACTGCGATGATAATGAGTGAAATGATTTACAGGTTTTCCCTTCCCGTCACTCATATAACAAGTCGAAAGGATTAATATTTTGTAACTTCAGAAATTGACAGCATTTTGAGTATATACGACTATGAGCACTACAATAACATATTACCTCCTATTCTCCTATTACTGCATTAGGATGAAAATCCTGATCGGGCGTTGTGATTGGTAGATTTTCCTATCATTATTATCGTTGTAAAATGAACCATCAAAAAAATTCTTTTCCAAAATGATATCCGCAACTATTAAATATCTCAAAAAACATAAGCGTGGTATTTTGATTACTTTGGGAGTTAGCGGTGGTATTTATTTTCTAGGAAAGTATGCAAAGTGGAAACTTATTGAATTTCAAGAAAAAACTGAACAAGAAAGGAGGGCTAAAGAAAAGTAAGAATTATATAATGAATTTTATTTGGCAAAATTCCTTTCAAATGTTTTGAATGATTTTTCTCTTTGAGAACCACAGCGTTAGTAATCCATATAATTTGCTGTCTGTGTTTTTTTATTTATTTTCTTTTATATTGCAAACTTTCATCGTTGCTTATTTCATAAATATGTAAAGTATACGCCGTCGATTCCAACAACGTCAAATCGACTGTGCGTTCACGGTCGCATCCCATCTTCCATCGATAGCTGAAATCTTGTTGAAGAGATTTGATGTTGAATCAATTCTAGATAATCTACAAAAAGCAAAGAATGCTACTCCAAATAACTCGCCCGGCGCTTCTATTGTCTTAGTGAATGAACCAAATACAACACCTTCTTCATCTGTGATATTAGTGGATAAACCTGTTGATATTGACAATGGCAAAATTATAGAAGCTAATACTGAGATAAATGATGAAAATAACGTTGAGCGATCTGAAAATCGGAGAAGTGACAGTAGTGGGTCAAGTGGACAAGATAGTGATTCGCATTCTCCTGTTAGTGGAAGCCATTCTACTTATGTGAGTGCGAATCATTCCCCCACAGATAAGAAAATTAAGTTAGAGTTATTGAATGAAGTCAAATATAAATGTAAGTCGAATATTCCTTTAAACATTGATTTCTCATGTAATTTATCATGTTGAATTGTCGCTAATCTCGATGAATAAATAATTATTCGTTATTCTTAGCTTTTATTCGTTCCATAGCAGCAATATATCTCGAAACATTCCTTACCCTGATCATTACTATTCAATTAAACCTTCTGGGAAGATATAATTACCTTTATTCTATTACTTCACTCACCGAACGTGATAGAGAACAAGTGATCCAAATTAATCCCCCTACAGGATCCATATTAAATCCAGATATCGAGAAGAAATATTTAACGTTTATCTGGTGGTTCTTGAATGTTGGATATGAACAGGTTGTAGAACGAATCAGAATCGCCGTGGAAACTCATCTATCAACGTAACATATTCATTGTCATATAATGACGTTTGAAGATAATAAGTAATAATTCATTTTTTCTTTTTTGATTTTTTTTTTTTCTTTTTTTATCTTAATATAGTGTATCATTGAAACAAGAGCTCTCATATAAAGATTTTGTGTGGTTATTATCCGAAATACGTTCCCGGATTGAAAGAACTGAAGATGGCCGACCTTATGAGTACTTATTGATAATTAGTATTTTGCATTTACCTATTTGGATCAAGTCATTTATACCATTTTGTATTTCAACAGATTTCTTAACGTGTTGATACCTGAAGACCAAGCTGATGAATTGAAAGTTCTTGATCAAGGTGGTGGTGGAGAATTGGATCATAATGTTGATCCAAAGCTTAGAAGATTGTTGGATGAGACAAAAGATTTCCTGCATGGGTATTTATCAGTTAGTGATTTTGCTTAATTTAAATATTATACTTATTGAATCCATTCCATTCCTACTTTGTGTCTAAAAGCCAGGATTTTACTGCTGTCTTATCTAGTTGTGTATCCTCATCATTTTCTTTGATGCAACAGGACTTACATACACATTTCGTTTCGGATGAACCAACCGAGAGGAAAGTTACACTTTCAAAATTATTACCAGCCATGAAGCAAGAAGCGCATATCATACTTAGCAGTGTTCATAATAAATTCCTAGATGTAAGTTTTTCTGGCAATATTCAATATTTCGCACAAATTTAGGTGAATGTTAATTCCTATAAATTTTATTTCACTGAGCAGGCTATCAAGGATTGTAAGGAGTTGCAGGCCCTTTGTGCAGTTATTTATTCATCATTTGATGATATTTAAGTTATTTGATAGTTTAGCGCAAGCAAAAATTTTACGTAATACTATATATATTTTAGAATAGACTTTATGTAAGAATAGGATTAAAAATGTATGATGAGAGTGTGCTTTAAAACTTAATTAGTTCGGAGAGTTTATTTGAATCTATTAATGTGGAATTAAGCATTAGAATTATGTTATTACATATTTATATATAATACATAACATTGATGTTGACATCTATATATTTATGTGAATTTTATAGTGTGATGAATGTGAATCATAGGAATGGTAATTATTTTTTGAACCCGAACCAATTTTATATATGACGTAATAACTTTTTGGTCTGGATTCAAAAATAATTGCTCAAATATATTGTTCTCTTTGTCCTACGAAACACATCACTGAGCCGATTCTCATGTTCACCTTAAGATATGGACCTCATTAGTTTGAAGCACAAGCAATGCATGATCCAAATTTTCGATTATTTTAGATCATTGTGAATCCAGTATTAGGGCACTGCCCTATGATTACATAGCACCTTTCTGCTAAACTCTATTAACGATGTAATATTACTAGCTAGCTACACATTTGGTCCATGTTTTTATATTTAACTTCTTAATTTCAATTTATCTTTACTAAATTACTTTATAACGCTTGCTCTCAATCTATTATATTTTAACACCCGAAAGTTTGCTACGATGGCTTGGAAATTGAAAATATCTCATAATCATCAATGTGAAACAACCCTTGAAATTCTCTAATTTTCGTTTCATAATATTGTGACCTTGTGTAACCACTTTTAGGATTTAAGATACCACCTATTCTTAGATCACTTCCGCCAAAACATATATGACTGACACGAGAATCGAATACTACTCTATCTGCCATTTCTGGATTAATACGACTTATTTTCGATATTATCGTAGGCTTTGATTGTACAGGAGCGTTAGTTGCAATATAATCACTGTTGTCAATACGGTTTCTGCTAATGCTGTTTATATTATTGGAGCTCTCACTTCCGCTTTTGAAACTAAATATAAAACTTTTCTTTGTCTCTGGATTAGCAAATCCCCTCTTATCCCATCCAGCAGGATTGTACCCACCAACAATTTCGCCATTCCCTCCAGAAACCTTTGCCACAACAATAATATCCGGCTGGGAACCTATTCGTTTATGCAAATGTTCTAAGTCAAACCCATCCCTTGTTGCTCTATATAATAACCTAAAAGCATATGGTAATACGTATGGAGATGTAGCTGTAATGTCCATTCTTTGAATATCTTTAATCCAATTTGCTAATATTGATACATGTTCATTTGAAAGAATTTCAGAACTTATACGTCGTCGTGGTGGAAGCAGTGAAGCTGATTTAGTGTAACATCTAGAGTTAAAATAAGTTTGTAAATCATCCCAAAGTGAAGGAGGAAATATTTTTGCATAGGGTTTGATTTTAGAGTTAAAATCACAAGGTGAAATCTCAGAAAATCGAATATGACAAATTAATTTCTTAATAGTTTTTGATAATGCTTTAAAATCAGATTCACACCATTTTTCAACATCTTCAACATTATCCGTACCATCATCAGCCTTTAATTCCACAGTATTTGTAATTCCCCAATTCAAAACAAAACTCCAAACGTCAATTTCGCGCATTCTATTAAAATCATCTCTTTCCAAAATATTTATAAGCATATCTTCTTCTATATTTATAAATTCCTCAGAATAAAATAACAAGTTTGGATTGCTGACAATTGCGTGAATACAATATGATTGTAATTTTTTACAAGAATGGTTAACAATTTTTTGAAGCACTGAAGAAATATTAGACTGAATCCATTCTGAATGTTCAGTTATTAAATATTCCTGAGCATGATCGAATAATTCATGAAGAAGTAATTCATCTGATGCAATGATAAGATCCCAAATTTCGGAAGCTTTAAGCTGTTCTAATGAAGCTTTTCCACTATATATATATCTGTTTTATAAATAATTTAATATAATTTAATTTAACAAAACGTAATTAAACTAATAATGAAATTCATAAATTATTTAATACATTACTTTAAAATCACGTCAAATACATCGTGAGAAATATTTGGCTTTTTGAAAACAAGCATTTCACCCTCCTTTTTGGTCCATTCAGTTGAAAGCGCTGCTTTAAAGTAAGAACATCTAGCACGTAAAATTATGGAATGAGCCTTAAATATTTTCATATGTGGCTCTTCACCAATTCCAAGATACACATCATAGTCATAAGCTTGAGTAAGAAGCTGTGAAAAGTCTTTCGATAAGGTTACAAGAAATTCTGTTTTCATGTTATAAATTACAATAAGAATTCAAGTGTTCGTTATCGTCACAGGTAGTTATAGGTCTAATATTATTAAACATGTGATAGGCTGTACTACAACATATGTTTGAACAGTGAATCAGATTACGTAATAAATTCTGGCAAAACCGTGAAATTCTATGATTCCATATATTAACGCGGGGTTTCACCCTGTCATATCGTACAGGAGCGACCGTCGATGTTACACGACTGGTTTTTCACGCGGTGTGAAACACATAAAAAAA